GTCCATCCACGCTAGGCTTTCCTCGCTGCACACCGAGCTTTCCGGCCGATGGTCTTGAAGCACCTGCACTTTCCTTTCTGCAGCCAAGTACACGGTGTGTGGATGGCCCACGTGTGTGCATTCACTGTGTCTGTATGTCTGGGCCCCACTGCCACTCCCAGGTCCCAGGGTCACTCCCCCTGTAGTATTTTCCACACACTCCTTCCCACGCTGGTGTGGGGAGCCGTGAGTCCTCCTGCCTCAGTCTCCTTCTCCAGGGTTGCTTTGGCCCTGAAGGGCTCGTTGCAATTCCAGACAGATTGGAGGAGGGATTGGAGATTCCTCCTCCTTCTGGGGAGGAAGAAAGGCTTCTGGAAATTTGACACGGATTGTGGTGAATGTGTAGGTCACTTTGGGATGTACCGCCATCTTGCAGCCCAAGAACACGGACACCCTTCCCTAGTTAGGTCTTGAACATGTCTCCGTGTGGGATGCAGGTCTTAGGCCTTTACCTCTATTTTCTTGCATTCTGGGGTGAGTCCTACTTGGATCCCATGGTGACCTGATGGTGAGCTGGTGCCCGGGGCCCCCCCTAGTCCTGGGCGGCGTTCCGTGTGCCTGCCCTGCCTGGACCCTGAGTTGGACAGGCCGGTCGGCCCACTTTGAGGGCTGAGGGATCCCTGAACGCAGCTGCCCATGTCTCACTGTCGGGATAGGATCCAGGTGAGTCCACTTCTCCACCCACTGCACAGGGAGGCGGTCTTGAGGAGGGGCCTCCCTAGAAGAGAACCCTGTGCTGCTGTCCACAGACAGCCCTCAGGGCCTCGAGGAATGCAGTAGAACGGACGAGGTGGGACATGGGGGTGGTCTATGAGTGCTGAATGTGACAGATCGTAGCCTAGAATGTTCTTTACAGCCTCCAGAGCTTTGGCTGTGCTGGAGGCCAGTGTTTCCCTCTTTACCTTCTCTATAGCATATTAATGGCCCCAACTGGAAGAACTATTTGGACTTGCAGACAGCTTGATTTATCCCAGCTCTGTTCTTAAATGGTTACTAATTTCTCACTGCAAGAAAATTCACAGTTTTTCAGTGAGTCAGCTTAATAACAAGATCAGGGCAGACAGTCTCACTAATACTAAACTCACTTTAGGTGCTCAATATTGATGTAGTGGTACTCTGAATCCTGGGGTTTTATCATGAGGCAGAACAAGGCATTTTCTTCTTCAGACGGTGAGTTAGCACATTGCAGATGTGCACACATGAAAGTCCATCCTTCTGTGCTCTGTGTCCCTCCCCTGCCACAGTGACGTGGTCGGAGCCGGAGGCTGGACAACCAGGGCCCTGGAGGCTCACAGCGGAGCTGGGCCTCTGCCTCCTCCCTCTGATTCTCACACCTTGACAGCTTGTGGTAAGGGGCTTACATTGAAACACACGTGTTTGTAAGTGGACCTTCCTTGCTGGATGAGCTGTTTTTCCATCATTTATTATAAACAGAATGAGAGTGTCATCTGCACCACTATCTCACGGTCCGTGGTGTCGGGAGGTACAAGCCATCCTGGCATATGGCCAGTACAGAGAGAGCACAGTAACTTCTCTGCCCTGGGGACCACGTGGCACCACCCGCTGCTGGCCCGAGCCATCCAGGCATCTCTCCTGGTTGTTGAAGCTGCCGAGCGGGCCCAGTGCCCTGCTGGAGGGGACCGAGCTTTCCCGGCAGTGCCTGTTCGTGTCTGTCTGTGCCTCGCCTGTGCTGTGTGCACCGTGTGTTTCTCTGTAGTTTACGAAAGTTGCTTCCTCCCAAAACTCAGTGCGCTTTTACTCAGGTCATTTCTGTGTAGGTTCACATGTGTCCAGGAAGATGGCTTGTCACTGGGGCAGGGACCTGAGGACGAGCCGTGGAGCCGGGTTGAAACAGTGCCCAGGGATGGCTCCTCTGAGCGGCCTGCTGATCCTTCAGAGACTGGCAGCATGAGACATTGCTGACGAGACAGCTTGTCATCCTGGGCCACAGCAGTAACAACTGTTCAGGTTTGGCCAGACTTGCTACTCCCCATTCTTTCCACCCTGTGTTCTGTGGAATGCACATGGTGCCGCTTAGTGTCTCCAGCCCCTTTAAAGGGAAAGAACACCACACCAGCATGCGAGGCGCACTCTTAGCCTGACAGTGTCCTCAGTAATTTTATTGGCAGACATGGTGGCTGTAAAGGGCACTCGTATTTCTGCAGTATCAGTTCATTTCAAGCACAGTTTTGGCGGGCCGGCCAGGGTCTCCTCACGGGCTGCACAGAAGGCGTCTCAGAGAGACATTTTCAGAGTCCAGCAAGTCAACAGGAACGTGCCGTGTTTGGACTGTACACTCAACAAAATGCTCCACGTTTGCGGGCGAGTCAGCCAGTCCTGGATCCTGGCAAGAGGCATGCGCTGGGCCACGAAGGGGCGCGGCTCTGTTGGGAGAGCTGTCACATGGTGGGGTGGTCTTGTGCTCCCTGGCACGATGGCCATGGGCCACATGTGGCCACCGAGCACTGGAAGTGTGGCTTATCCAGCTTGAGGTGTGCTGGGAGTACACCATTCGGCAATTGATGAAAGCATGTGTCTCGTTAGCGTTGTTCGCGTTGACCTCACGCTGAAGTGAGAATATCTTGGTTTGATGGGGTAAAATAGGGTGCATTGTTGACAGTCATAATACTTACCGTTTTTACTGTTGAAAATGTGCACGTTAGGAAATTTCAAGTCCCAGCTGTGGCTCTCCATAGGCAGGACATCTGCCATAGCTGCTCAGGGCTACAAGAGTCCTAACCCCCTCGCATGGCTGTGTGAGTGCTATGACCTGGGTCATCACACCATGATCCCTGTGGGCTCATCACATCAGGGCTGCACTGACTGGCCCTGAGCTTAGGGTCTTGGGCAAGCTCCTGGGCCTGGTTTGAGACACAGCTAGTTTGAAGGCTCTTAGAGACCAGGTGGGGTGCATGGCAGGGGACCCACAGTCCTTACCCAGATCTGGGCTGACTGGGATGAGGTCGTGGGTGTGTGCTTCAGCCCCCAGAGTCACACGTCTGTGCGAGCGTGTGGGCACGGGGTGGAAGGAGGCCAGATGCTCAAGCGCCACAGTGTTACTAGCAGTGCTTGTCTGACAGCACCAGCTGGGTTTGGGTTCAGGACAACATACTTCCTTTTCTAGTTCTGTGTCCTGTGTGCTTGCCCAGTGAGATCTGGCCAGTAGCTGCCTTACTAAAAGCCCATGCCATCAGCACAGGTGCACCTGTGCCTGCTCACAGTGCAGATCCTGCTGGTCCTGGAAGATGCTTGGTGGGGTTGACAGGGACATAGATGGCCCAGCACAGGGGGTCTCCTCGTGGGTGTGGAATAGGGTACACATGGGTAGTACAGGCCGGCCCGCCGGGGACATGGTGTGTGCATACCTCCTGGAGCGCCGCGTTGGTGCACTCAAGGTGGAGGCCTGCTGGGAGGGGTGGTTGGTGGGAGAGGGACCTGCCTCACACGGTGCTGAGCGGTGACTGTTTATTGTGCTGTTTGGGCCTCAGCCATGTGAGGTCATAGGAACGCGATGGAAAAGACCTCCTGTATTAGGTCATCCAGCCCGTCCCTCAGAGCCGACTGACCCCACAGTATACTTTCCAGAGCTCCGTCCAGTTTTTCCAGTGACTCAGCGGCTCCCAGAGGGCGTGCAAGGCTGGTGTCTGAGCCTGCTACCTCGGGTCAGGATTTGTTGTTCCATGCCTGGACGGGGCTCCCGGGGGTGATGCTGGGCTCGCAGAGAGGTGAGGGGCCCAGCCTGCCTCTGTCACAGCGACCTCTGTGCTCCTCACCGCCGGCCCCTCCACGAAGCAGGCTGTCGTGGTGCTCCTGCAGCTGAGCCTCCAGGACTTGGCGGGCGCGCCTCACATGGCGCTTTATAGTTTTGACAGCTTGCTCCCATTTGTGAGCTCATTCCGGCCTCACCGCTCCTGAGGAAGGAGCTGATCTGCTCATCCTCCCGGCCACCTCCCTGCCTCCATTCTCTTCCTCGTGTGGCAGCCAGCAGAGGGTGGCTTCTTGTGATGCCTCCCGAGACGTCACCTGGGGACTGGTGTGCTGTCCCTGAGGTGTGGCCAGTCCTAGGCTGTGGTGTCACCTGGTGGTGCCAGTGGGGGTGATATCAGTGCACGGTATGGCGCCCTGTGGGGTCCCCGCTGTGTCCCCTGGGCCAGTCACTGCTGACATTCGTCCCTGCATGACCAAGGACTTAGAAGTCATCTGCGGGCCATGGACCCGCTGGGAGAGGGCAGACAGGCACCCCGTGCTCCTCGACGATTCACATTCTGCAGGCCCTTTGTCCTGACCCGACTTTCCCTGAAACTGGCATTAACATTTATTGCAGGTAGTTGGTCATTAAGATTTCTCTTAAAATCATTCCTTTTTGTTGTCAGCTTGAGGATATTAAAGTTTTAAAGCCAGGCTCAGCACGCACGTAGTTAAAGTACCTTTCACAATGCAAGTAGTCTCAGTAGAATTGCAGTAAAACGCCTGCTCTTACAGCGTGTGAGACTTTGGACGTGTGACTGAGCCACAGAAATGGGGCGAGGGGCCACCATCCAGCCTGTCAGCGTCCCTCCTCCCCTCTCAGCCCACAGGATTGTGCTCCACGATCTCACCTCCCTTGGGTGCTTTGTATGTGAAATGTTTCAAACACAAAGGAGAAAGTGGTTTGGCTTTTCTTTGTAAATCCTGTGTTTCCAGCTAGTCTGGGTTCGGTCCTTGGGTGCAGACAGGTACTGAAGACAGTGACTGTACAGACCCCAGGCTGCATTGTCAACTCCAGCCTGCTGCCCGCCCTGGGGGTCAATGCTGCTGAGTGGCCCAGCTGAGACCCAGACCCAGGACTGGAGGGCAAAGTGTTCATCACCCCTACTGACTCACAACATTTCCTAAGCACTATAAACGTGACGGGAAGATACACTGTTTTTGAGAGTTTGAAGAAAGGCATCCCCCCCCCGCCACATGTGCCTCTCTTGCAGATCCTGAGGAAACTCAAGGGTCTTGCCCTGGACACCGAGGCAGAGCTGGAGAGGCAGGACGAGGCTCTGGATGACATCACCGCCGCCGTGGACCGGACCACCCTAACCATCGACAAGCACAATCGGAGGGCAAAGAAACTGACTTAGAGGGACAAGAAAGCATGACAGTCACTTCCCTGAGTGCTTTGTTCTCAACATCTGCACGCTTCCTTGACCAGAAAGCCCGGGAAGTTGGGTCCAGGGCTAGGCGGTACCTGGAGGCCTTGCCCTGGGAGGTGCAGGCCTGCCTGGGCTGTAGGGGCCTGGCTCCCTGTGTACTGTAATGCTGACCATGGCCCCCAGGGGGGAGGAGAAGCTCCAGGAGGCCTGCACCCCCATTGTGGCCCCAGCTCCTCTTGCTCCCACCTGTCCTGGGCCCTGATTCCCTGCTCCCTACCCTTACTCCCCTTACTCCTCCCCCCCACTCTCCCCCTTCTCCCCC